CCCAAAGTTACATATAACTGAAATGACAGATATTCTCAAACATTTTCCAGAAGTACTAATTTACACTCCTAATAGTAATGTAATTCTCATGAAATTAAATATCATCAATAGGTTGATGGCACCGATATCACATAACAAGCCTCTCTTTTACGCTCATATCTTAAAGATCCATTTGTTTATTGGACATAGTTACTTGAACATCTCAAAAACACAAAATTTGACATGATTCTTCGAGTTTTTACTCTCGCTGCCCGTTCTCCAGTGTTTCCTTTCTCTTTTTATCCATTGATAAAATTAGTAGGTCAAACAAGAAACTTGGGAGTCTTTCTTGACAGTTCCTTCTCTCTGGGTCCTCACATTAATCCAGCACTAAATTATGTCTGTCCTATCACCTATTCGATCCTTAACCATCTACCTGTCTTTTCTTCCCTGCCATGGCCCTAACCCAATCTGTCATAAACAACAATCTGGTGTACTGCATTAATTCCCAATTTGTCTCTCACATCCACTGTCTCTCTTCTAAATTACTCTGTATTTTTCTTTCAGGGTGTCTCTCTCACAATTATAATCCAGCAGTTTTCTGTTTAATTGTACATTTATCACCTTTCCTCCTGTATAATGTAAGCTCTATGAGAGATCGTGACTGTTTTTGTTCACGGTTGTGATCCTAGAATCTGATACTGTAGAAGCTCAATAATTATTCACTGAATGAATACAGCATGTATACAAAAAATAACCTTCTTTCCATGTAAGTCTGGGGTGGAGGCAGGGGAGGAACTATCTCACTGGAATCTGTAATAATCAGTTTCCCCCACTGGAATGTAAATTCCTTAAAAATGAGAACAATCTTATTCCTCTGTGAATCATGAGCATTGGTGCTTGACATATGAGGCCAATAAATATCTGGTAAATGAAAGAATAAACGAGTCAGCATTATAAAACTACACGTCTGTGATTACTACATGATTTCCTGTCCTTTGTGGGCCAGACACTAGGTATATAAAAATAATGCCACCTTTTGTCTTTAGTGACTAGAAGTCTGAAAGCAAGCGAATGTCAAAGTTCTTCTTGCATTATACTAATTAGATGTAGTTAGGTGGCTAACTTACCAGAGCAGACTTCCCAACGCCTCCTGAACCAAGGACCACTAGCTTGTACTCACGCATGATGTGGACTGTTTAAATACTGATAATCTGAAAACAAAAAATAAAAATCGAAGATTAACAAATAAGCTAAGAGCATCCCAAGAATGGACAAGTATTACATCAAATACAGGATTTTGTTTGTTTTGTTTTCTTTTGTTTTCCCCATAAGACTATAAAGGGCATAACAGAGGCTACACAGCAAAAACCACATAGATTTTTAACAAGTTTATAAGACTATTGATAGACATTTTAATTCACTGAAGATCATCTTTGACTAGGCAATTATTACCTTGTTCATGTCACTTTTTACTTGTTTTCTAACAAGATGACTAAAACCAATAGTTGTCTTAGAACTATTACCATGAACCCAATTCTTGGCAAAGCTTTCATTTAAGCAACCTATAAACTTTTTCAAAATGTTCACTCATGAGCTTTAATATGATGTACATACTATTTCATTTGCTTAAAATATCCTATAGTAATTCTATGCTATTTTGTTCATTATTGTATTACAAGTGAACCATGTAAAAATGCCACCTTGAAAATTATTAGTATGCAAACAGAAGATCAGAAGAAACTGTTAAACTCTATA